GTGCATCTTGTGTGTTTATTTTAAATGCTGAGAATGCAAGAGTTAACAAACAGGCAAAGCTATCTGCCCTCATGGACCTTACATTCTGGGGGTAGACAGAAAATAAACCTTTATTCGCAACCCATTCAATGTCCTCTCCTGTGTCTCAAAGGCTGGAAGTCAGGGGATTACCTTTCCCAGGCTCCTTTTCCTGGGGATTTGGGTGAATTTGCATTTTGCTAATGCTCTCACATAAGATTTGGAAGGCAAAGAGGAGTGCTTCAATGGCTGGCTGAAGGCAGAGGGCCATCATGGGGACTTCAGAGCCGGGCACTGTGACTCTGCTGGCCATTTGCTGCAGTATTTTTACCTCTGGGTGGCAGCAGCTAGTTGCTGAGTCCTGGGTTATAGCTACAGTGATATTACTTGAAAGCTAATGGCAGCCACACGAATGGTCACTAATCTAGTTTACCAACAACTTCTGAGCACCCAATCCTGATATCAAATTCCCAAGTTGTTTTTCGTTTTCTTTAGTGAATCTTGTCAGAATATTACATACCAAGACTGGTTCCACACCTTCAAAAATGGGAATCTCGTATTGATTGTTAGTTGATGTGGTTGGGTTCACATACAGTGATGACCTCATTTCAATTTAAAATACAATTCTAAGGAGACACATAGCGCCTAACAGTTACTTAAATGAACACCTCTGGCTGCCTAAAATTCAGGGTCTATTGAAGATAAGGATTTAGGAGAGCAAGTTGACTATTGCTGTGGAATAGAGAAGAGAATTAGACTGAGGGTGTGTCGGCTACTTCTGATTACACTACAGCGGAGGCTGTAAGAAAAAAATATGACAAGTTCAGAAACTTTGCAGTCTTGGATCAAGCTAGGATCCTCACATTTGAAGCCACATCATTGCTACAGCCCACAGTCAGACCTGTCTGTGGCTGCAGGTTGCACGTTTATAATGCAAGACGGTTTCAAAGACTTGCTAGGCCTCTTGTGTGGATGTTAAGGACTTCATTGGTAAGAGTGGGCCCTGGGAATTGGGAAAGGGGCATTTTGGAAGACTTGGGTGAATCTTAGTACTCTGAACCCCAAATCCGCCAAAAACTTCCTCCTGTAAGCCCCTCCTCCTGTCAGCCCTTCCCCTAATTGAGCAGATTATAATGACTCCACCAGCAGCAATTACATCATAGACTACCAATCACTTAAAACTCAAACAGACCATTACTCACTGCATCAAGACCTGGATAGAAACAAAGCCCCATTAGCATAAAAGTAAGAGAGCTCTTCTGTTTAGAATTTCCATAGAAGTTTGTGAAGAGACTAAGGTAAGAAGGTAGAAGAAGAGACCCCCTTACGGGGCCCAGGTGCTCGTGTCCTAGGATGAACCTCAGATAAGACACTGATCCTTTTGATCAACCAGCAACATGGCAAAATTTTCCCATAGTCTTAACACAATTACATAAAAGGTAAACGATAGAACTATAAATAATTATTTGCTGATTTCACAGAGGTGCTATAACTCTTATTTTACAAATACAATGGAACCCAGTGATGCAGGATTTGGGATAGAGCTGAACTGAAGTGACTCAGCAATTTCTTGCTGTTCTTTGGCTCTTCGTGTGAATGCAGGGAGCTGCCATGATGTATGCGACTAGGATCCTGCATAAACCAAGAGAACAGAAAGAGAAGGCAGATGAGGACAGGCCTTGCGCTTGGTGGAGGAGTGAATTATTGGGTTGCTCCCTGGCTGCTGTCTCTCAGCCTGAGATGGCCCATGATTAGATTTTACTGCTCTTGGAAGCTGGTGTCCTCACCCTGTTAGCCTTTTGCAAAGTGAAGTAGAGACTGATTTGCCAACTTCAGAAACATCAAAAGAATAGTAAATATAACCATAACTATAATAATATGTTAATTATATTGCACTTAGTGAGCACATGACAGGCACTGGTAGGTATGAAGTGCTTTTCAAGTATTCACTCACTTAGTCCCTCAACAGCCCTATGAGTGAGATAGGTTGTTATAATCCTGAATTACAGGTTTGTAAAATCTGAACTTGTGAGAGGTTAAATTTCTAGCTTCAAACCATGCTGATAGTTAATGATGGAGATGGGCCTCAAGCCTGGGCCTTTTAGGCCTTAAAACCCAAGACTCTAACCACTGTTCCTTTCTGGCTTTCTTTTGCCACACGTGAGGCCTTGGTCCTGCTTGTTTTGTCTATTATGCATCTCTCCAATCCAACCACTTTTCCCAGCACCACCACTCCGATAATGAATGCTATGATCTTTCTAAAGGATTACTGTAGCAGCCTTGTAACTGGTCTACTTTTACCCATTTTAACCCCACTTCTAATCTGTTATCTGCATTAGAGCCAAAGGGAAATTTTAAAAACATAAATCTTATTATGCTGCATACTTTAATGACTTCACGTAAAGACCCATCTCTCCACACCAATTTTTTAGGCCCACATGGTCTGCCCTTTACTCCATTTTGGGCCTCATGGAATCCATTGTTCCCTGTAGGTCCTGTCCCCTCCTTGCTTTCTCTTCTCCCATCTTCCTCATCTCCTCGAATGCCCATGCACTTTTCTTTCATAGACCCTTTGCACATGCCGCTCCCTCTGTCTGGAGTGCACTTCCAGGCCCCACCCCGGCCCCCCTTTGACCTAGCTAGAGCCATGCTTTCTGAAGATCACAGTTTAAATGTCACTTCCTTAGCCGAGTCTTTCTAATCTCTAAGTTAGTTCCCTTTGTTGAAAGGTGTCATAACAATATTTGCCTTTTCTCAGAGGTTGGTGTTTATAGTTATTTGTGTGGTTCTCCAATGAATGCCTACCTTCTCGATCATACTGTAAGCTCTTTGAAGGCAGGAACAGGTCAGGTTTTTGCTTACCAATATAGTCCCAAGGCTTAGGGTAGTATTTGATATATGGTAGCTTTTCAAACAATAGTTGTTAAAAAAAAAGGGGGGGGAGGTAAAACATACTTCCCTGGGGTGTATGAAAAGGACAACCTTTTCTAAAAGTCTATAATGTGCTTAGAACTTCTGTGGAGGATAAAGTTGGCTGAGAGAGGAAGTCCAGTTCATAGGGCAGCCAAAGCCAGCCACAGCGCACTAGACCCTACCTGTCTGAGCCTGGGAGAACAGCAGCTAGGTCTAGTTAAGAAGTTTCCCTTGGTGGGAGCAATGCTTCAGGTTTACAACTTAAGTGGCTCACTTCTCAGGTAAGCAACTTTAGGAAGCAAATGCTTAACACATAATGCATACCTCCCTCCCCTACCCCCAGAAGCCTTCAGGGTGATTTGGTTATCCAAAGGGAAGGATTAAGTGGGAGAACTGAGCCAAATTCTTTTCTCCTGAGTGATAGGTCTAGAAGTTTAGATACCAGGCTGGCATCTACCCAGGCACAGGGTGCTATTTAGAATGACTCCCAAGGAGCTCTGGGTATCTATAATGAGAGTCGCCTTGGGCAGAGGCTGAGGCACAATATACATTGAGACTGATGCCAAACACTGCCCTCTCCTTTGCAATTAGAGATTGATCCTTTGGGCTCTAAAGGAAAGAGAGTTTACCAGATTCGTTCACCAGATTCACTTTAGAGACAGTCATGTTACTTAACTATGGAGATAGTTATTGTGTGAACTTCACAGAGGGAACTTACACAAACTTAGATGGTATAGCCTACTATATACCTAGGCTATATGCTATAGCTTACTGCTTTTAACTACATACATATATTGCTTGGTGCTGTATAAAACAACAACAAAAATAGATCAAGGACAGGAGAAGATGATGTGATCAAGAGCAGGGGTAAACATGAGATGTATGAGGCTGCCGCTGGCACAGCACGGCACACTGTTTTACAGCAAACTTTTCTCAATAAGTAAAAGAATACACTAAAATAATGATAAAAAAAGTATAGTAAATACATAAACTAGTAATAGTCCTTTTTTATTACTATAAAGTATAATATACTGCAGGCAGTTGGATGTGCTAGTTATGGGACTGGTGGGACAGTATGTTTGTTTACAGCAGCATCACCACAAACATGTAACCCATTGCATTATGACGTATTTTAAAAAAACA